GCAATATTTTAAATTTCTTTAATTAGGTTGTACAGTCAGATGAAACAAGCAGCCCTGGTAACTATCTTTTTATATTTCAATTTGAAAGTGCACTTTTCTTTTTTTCAAAATGCCCTCAATCTAGTACATAAGCCTAAGCAAATGTATTAAATGTGTTTATTTGTGCTAGTAGTTTCCTATGAAATTGGGTAACAAAAGATGTATCAATTGTATGTGAATGATTTCACTGAGTTTCCTTTTTTTCTTTACAAGCTGTGTGAAAGATTAGAAATATAAACTTTCAGTTGATACGTTTGTAAATATAGTTCTTTGTTAATGTTTTTCATCTTTATAAAACTGGATCACATTTTTTCATTGTCTTGTGTCTTTTGTATTAACTAAACTTACGTTATAAAAATGTTTTTCAGATACAGATAAAGACTTTGATCCTTCAGCTGATATCATGGTTCATGATTATGATGATGAAAGAACTTTAGATGAAGAAGAAGCCATGACAAGTGGAGAAAGCTGCACTGGAGAATTGGATGATTTACAAAAAGTAGACTTAATACTTAACACTAACATGTTTTTATAATTATATATATACACCTGTATATATTGACTTCAGTATGTTTAATTATGCAAGTAAAGTTCAACAACAGCCTTTTCTGATTAATTTTTTGTTTATTAGTTACTTCTGTGTCCCAAAAATGGGGTAAAAGATTCTTAGCAATATAATTATTATAAGCTTCTAAATATATGTAATTTTTTATTATTATTATTATAATTATTGAACTGAAAAGCTTAAAGCACCCTTCTTATCCTTTTTTTATGTAATTTGTGCATAAATTGACAAGAAAAAAAAAAAGAATTAATAGGCATAAACAATATATATATTTAGATCAAAACAAAGTTTCAAAATAAGGTTGAACAAATTTAAAATTTTAAGTTTTTCCAATTATTTTGCAATGTTATTTAAGCATCTATCCCATTTCCAACAAATATGGTAGCACACAAGTATTTTAGCTTTAGTCTCATGTTTGTACACTTTGCTTTTACATAGTGGTCTTTATATTACAGGAAAGTGAAATGCCAATTGAAGAGCTGATGGCACAGTATGCTGCAGGGGCAGTCACTGCAGATGTAGCTGACAACTCTCCGTCTGCATCATCATCATCAAGTGACGATGAAGAGATTGTAGACAATGACCACCATGTGAGTTTGCACAAGGGTAGTAACTCACAGAGTGGTTTACACAGCAACATAGGGGGTGATGATATTGATCTAGTCCCAAGTGCTTCAAGATCACAAACTGGTCGATTGCTTAGATGTGAGTTGAAACAATAAAATTGAATAAAAATTTGTCAAAATGTTGTGCTTTTTATGCAAAAAATTTAACTGTTCTCCTTTTTTTTTTTCCAGCCACCAGTCACCCTGAGAGTGGTGATTCTGAGTCATCTTCTGATGATGAAAATTATGAACCTATTGAGGAACATAAGAAGGTGTATATTTTTTTTTTTTTTTAATTTAGGTTTTACATTGTATTACTTAACACTTAAATTCTTGTTGATTCTCAAGAAATTAATACTAAGACTTTTTTTTTCACAGACTATACAAGTAGGTTCTGACTTTCAGGCAGTTATTCCAGTGGGTCTCTCTGTTTATGGGGATGCCCCAGCTTATGAAAATGAAGATCGTCTGTTGTGGGATCCTTCAAAAATAAAAGATGAAGCAGGTATTTAAAAATATTGTTCTAATTACTATCATGTTTTTTTAGATCCCTATGTTGGTTTGAAGGCTCAATTAGAGACCTGAAATAGTTGTTTTTTTTGTCAATAATGTAGTACTTTATGTATATTTGCGTCTAATATTCTGACCATAATGATTAAAGTCAAAAGTATTTTAATAGATATAAGAACCACCTAGACAGTGAATAAATATCAATTATTTTAGTTACTTCCACCAACTATTAAGTTCTTCATCTAATTCTTGTGGATGGAAACTATCATCTAAGCTCTAAAGAGAGGGTACTCTTTTTTTTTTTTTTTTTATTCAGTCATAATATATCAGACCTGCCTACCATTTTGCGAAATGTGCACAATATTGTTACTTGACCATATATATATATATATATATATAAACACATTTTTTTTATTGTATTAATGTTTTTGTAACTATTTGTGGTGGGGGGGGGGATTTACTTCCCATACATATTGTTGTGATTTAATTTGAAACACTAGCGAGGTCAAACATCTGCTGATTAATCACTAAACAAAATTCTCTAAATATTCTTTTTAACAAAATAATAAGGTTTGTTTACTATCTGGAAATTAACTCTTCTCAGTCCATATAGAAGCAATCTTTTATTTACTGTTTACCTTCAAACTGTTCTTATCAGTGTCTGACTCAACATAACTATTTTGGTTCTAGATTGTAAAATACTCTATGCATAAATCTACTAGTAGCAAACATATCATGTCTAATGAACTCTAATTTTCTATCATTTAATAAAGCACTCAATGATTATCTGTGCAATGTGCAAAGAGAAGTGGACAGAAAACTATATGCTGTCTGTAGTATCCCTAGAGGTAAACATATTCGTGATGATGAGCAGGTAGGTAGAAATATTTCTTAAGTGTTGGGTTTTCAGTATGTATGTTTGTGTAATACACTTTTTTGTTGGTCACTTGTGTTGTTTTTTTTTATTGGAAGACTAGAACAATTAAAAGGAGATAATGTAATAATTATGTGTTGTCATTTAAATGGTCAGAAAATAAAATAACATGGTGCTGTCGTAAAAAAAAAAGTCTTAGCATCATTTAGTACACAAAACATTAGAAACAGCTCATTGAGCTTATTTGTGTGTTGCAGTTTTTTTTATATATATATTTTGTTGTTTCATCATGTCTTTTTTTTCTTTAATCTTGCCATTTCTTTTGCCATGTGGGGACCATGCATTATTCTCATAATGTAGTCACACTCCTTCATTGTTTTCTAGTCATTCTTAACCTTGATTTGTCTTTCATTCATTCAAATCATCAAATTTTATATAGATATAGTGCTGCTAACCTTGTATAACAATTCAGTTCTGACTTATTTTTAGCCAAAATGTATGATATTTACTTTGCATGTGGAATACAGTTTTAATGATGTAAATTTCAGGCATTGTTTTTATTACTTCAATGTGACAATAATATTGAAGAAGCAGAGAGAAGGCGCAAGATGCAAGCTGTACCTCCTACTGGTAAGCATTTGAGATTTTGTTTAATTGTCCCTAAACATTTTTTTTTTCATATTAAAGAAATATCTTAAAATCTATATTTTTCATATTTTTTAGATGTGATGAGTTTGTGGTCTGAAGATGAATGTCGTAATTTTGAAGATGGTCTGAGATTATATGGGAAAAACTTCCATGAAATTCATCACAATAAGGTATTTTGGTATTTGGAAGCATTTATTGAGTTATGAACTGTTTGACTTATAACCTGTGATTTGAGGAGATACTTTGACACGATTAAAGAAAGTAAATAAAAAGATATGAAAAATAAATCTGCATACAAATATGTTAACAAATTATATTCTTCTTAGATTTGTTTTTTTTTTGTTTTTGTTGGGGGGGGGGGGGGGTTATTATTTATTTATTTACTAATGTTGTAGAATGTCATTATTTGTCTTTTCATTTTTGGTGAATGTTAATTTGACTATAAATTTCTTCATTCTTATTTTCAGGTTCGAACTCGTTCTGTTTTTGAATTAGTTCATTTTTATTACCTTTGGAAGAAAACAGAGCGGCATGATATATTTGCTGCCAAAACTAGAGCTGAGAAAAGAAAATATTCCTTAAATCCGGGTGTGACGTAAGTCAATGTTAATCTTTACATTAAACAAAATTATGACTTTATTATGTCCTCAAAACTTTGTTGATTTAAAATTCAATAATTAATTTTTTATTCACAAAACCATTTTCTCTTTTTTTTTTTTTTTTTTTTTTTTTCCAGTGATCATATGGATCGATTTCTTGAAGAACAAGAGGTGGAACTACATCAGTTGATGGTGCCACAAAACTCAGAAGTCAAGATAGATACCAATGATGATGAAAAGTCCATGGGTATCTTTAGTACTGGTAAAACAACTATTATGTCGCCCTCACGTCATTCTGATAGGGGCCTTGCCAAAGCTGATCACCTGACGCCATCAAAACGGCCAAACTATCACCATCATTCTGATCATAACGGTAGCAGCCATAGCTCACCTGATCACCTTGCTCCTAAACGGCTAAAGCTGGAAACTGTATCTCCTAATGATCAGCTCTCACCTAGGAAGCAAAAATTACCTGAGGATACCTCTAGGTTATCACCATGTTTATCATCTGCACCTAGTGACAAAATATTGGAGAGGAACTCTGAGCTGATGGCTCAGCCCAACCATGTGGACAGCAGCTCAACTTCCTTGCCTGTAGTGGTGGATGACTATGGCAAGAAGAGTCCTTCCATGGAGAAGCACTGTGTGGTTGAACATTTACCTTTACCTACCATCTCTCCTTGTAAGTCTCCCAGTGGGGCCTTGCTTCAGACTGGCAAACAAACAAATACTGCAGGGGACACTACCAATCCTGACATAACAAACTGTAACCTCAAGCCAATGCTGTCTGAACCAGTTGTGCAATAATAGATGAAAAGGTCAGACCTTGTGTATATTTGAGGATTGCATTTATACTATGTAATGCACAGGAATAATTTGTGCTGATGTTTTTGAATGACTAAATGTTCTAGATGATGATGTGTAATTAAACAAGCAGACTGAATTGTTGGAGTCTCTCTCATTGCTCATAAAATCATTTTTTGTTTTGTTTTTTCTCACTTGTTTTGTTCTGGCGCTGCAAGCCATTTTTTTTTTTTTTTTTTTTGCTAGATGATCATCTCTCTGTACATTTCAATGAGTATGGTATGTGTGTTTACATTCAATCATTGGAGAACTTGCCAAACATTATTATGTTCCTTTAATTTCTTCTCACCACTGTGAATGAGAGGGTTTTTTTTTTTTTTTTGGTGCCTTCCATATTGTTTACCCTTCCTCTTTCTCTATAACATGTCTGTGCTATTGAGAATACATGTTTTTGTTTTGTTTTTCTGATATGTAATGTCACATCTCCATTATATAAATATATATTCCATTAGATTGACCTATACATTGTTGCTATAAGAAGTGATTAGCCATTTTGGATTGGAGTTGTTCATGTTGAACTATGTTTTATAGAATTATGAAATTATTTCTGGAAAGTACCCTGGCTATTAAAACTTTGAAATATAATTTTGCCTGCCTTTGTTATGCTGTCTTATTAGTCTTATTAAAATAATTTAGCAAAAATAGAAATTGTTGAGACAATAGGGATGAGATGAGGGAACAAACAAAACGTGACCTGACTAGCACAGTCCACAGGGCAGCCCTTTCAAAACTCAAAATAATTTGGAAAGACAAGGGCTTGGCCCTCAACACCAAAATCAGATTGATGCCCTTCCTGGTCATGGCCACATTTTTTATATGCTTGCGAGTCTTGGATGCTGACTGCAGAGCTAGAGAGGAGGATCCTAGCAATGGAATTGAGATGCTACAGAAGGATCCTAGGAATCACTTTCGAAGACCGCATCGCAAACCAAGAGATGAGAGACAAAGTTACTGCAGCGATCGGACCCCATGATGATCTGCTAACTATTTTAAAGAAACGCAAGCTTAAAATATGTGGCCATATTACAAGATCCACGGGGCTCGCAAAGACCTTTCTTCAGGGAAAAGAAGAGGCAGACAGAAAGCGATGGGAGGACAACATAAAAGAATGGATAGGCCTACTGTTTTAGAGGTTTTAAACAAGGCAAAGGACAGGGAGGAATGGAGAAAGACGGTCAACAAATCTTGCTTGGTTCCCCAACGGTCCAACAGACTAAGGGATAGGTAAAGGTAAAAACATTAATGTATATTGTCAATGATTTTTTTTTTTTTATCAAAAAGAAAACACCAATACCAAAATTATAGATCTTAATCTCAGTATCAAGTTATGCAAGGTCAATTTTTTTTCACTCAGATTTAGTATTGGTATTAACTGTCTCAGAGGTATATCTGACCTAATCTAATCAATGCTAGTTTAATAATGAAGCAAATTTTCAAATAATTTTTTTTACCAACCTGGGGTGATAAAAAAAAAAATTTTGTTCAGCACCCTTTCTGTCTGCCTCTTCTTTCACCTGATACTGTTCCCTGAAAGAAGGTCTTTGTTAAAATACTGTTTGTTTATATACTAAATGCCTGTACATGAACTTGTCTTATTAATCACAAGAAATATATTTTTACAAGGTTTGAAGTAGGTCTTGGCCTATTAATCCTATCTGTAAACTATTCTTATTACCACTATAATTAAATTTTTTAATATAATTTTAAATAAGAACATATAAAAATTACTTTAAAAAAAAAAAAAGCTTATATTAAGTGTAATTGTATTAATTAGTTTGGATCAGTCACCTAATTAAATTTGTAATAGATCTAGACTAACAATTATAATTCTGTGATTTGTTTAGTGCTATTTCATGCTTTTAGTTTTTTATGTGCTTTGATCATACTAACTACCTAGGTTTATTTTTTAAAAAATCACTTTTTTTTTTTTAAAGAGAAAAAACTCTTGGTATGCATATAAAAGGAATATAATTTAAAACAACTTAATGGAAAAGTTTTTAATTGTTGAGGCTTTGTATGGGAGATTTTCCCTTTGCAAAACAATGAGTTAATCCTTCAATAACATCAGTTAGGCCAGGTTCACATTTAACTTCACCTATCCCTTAGTCTGTTGGACTATTGGAGCACCACACAAGATCTGTCCACCGTCTTTCTCCATTTCTCTCTGTCCTTTGTCTTTTATAGAATTTCATTCACTGTCCATTCTTTAATGTTGTCTTTGCATCACTTTCTCTGTTTTCCTCTTCATCTTCTTCCTGGTACTGTTCCCTGTAAGAAGGTCTTAGCGAGCCCTGAGGACCTTGTGATGTGGCCATTGAGTTTGAGTTTACATTTTTTGACAGTGGTTAGCAAGTAGGTCATAGTGGGGTCCAATTGCTGTATTGATCCTGTTTCTAATCTCTTCATTTGTGATGCAGTCTTTGTAAGTCACACCTAGGATTTATTTATATCTACATAATTATCAGTTCATTAAATTTATATGAATATTAACGATGTAATAATAATAATATTAATAAATCTCCATATTTTGTGGTATCAAGTCGTTATTCCAACTAACAATACAACAGTATCTGCAACACTTTCAACACAAGATAGTGTTGTAGTTTTTGATAGTTCATAGTTTCTGATATTCTTTCAGAAAATATTGAACCCTGCCCTTTTACCTACCTGAACGGACCACTTCAGGGCAGATTCTGACTTTGTTTTTCCACACACAGTTTCTTTCTTTGTACCGGTAACCTTGTTTTTTTTTAATTGATTCTTTTTTTGTCAGGCACAAGAAATAATTGTGCAAAATTTCATCTTGGGAGAAATAAGGTGTACAAAACTTGTACCAGACAAGACAGAGAGAATTGATATAACCTTTGAAACAATACATTTTATTCCTTTTAATTTAAGTTCATTAAATATATGTAAAATTTAAAAAAAAGGCAATTAGTAGTTCCCCAATTTGTATTTTTAGCAGTCAACCTTTTTTAAGTCAATCTTTAAGACATGACTAGTATACAAAACATGGATGTGCAATAAATATATATATTATGTAATATAAAGAATAATTGTACAATATGCAAGTGAGGCACTGATTGTTTCTAGTTAATGGAAAAATTCCCATTAGCTTTGAGATATCAAATTGGGTGGATTCAGGCCTGGGTCAGTAGGAGCAGAACTAGATACATTGCTGAGTTCTTTTTCTTTTCCATCAGGCTGATCCTGTTGACCACAGTAAAGCCTCATTTAGAAACAATTTAACTCAGTTGAAGGGCAGGATTTATTGAAAAAATATAGAATTATAAAAACTTAAAGATTCTAAATAAACATAAATGATAGAAGATTATAAACATAAAACTTTACACAATAGCTATAGCCATAAATTTACAGGTTGAGATACAGCATATCAAGAGGAAGACCTATAATAAAAAGAAATAATTTATATTATAATGTAAAAATGAAGAAGCAATAAATGAAAAAGAAAAAAAAATAGGCTTAAATTTGCCCTCTTTCAAATTAGGCAAATCCTTTCTATAAAAATCATGCCATACATATTGATGTCATAATAGCTAACTGTGAAATATATACCACACCAAGAAATATACCAGCTATATGAAGACCCCCCCCCCCCCCATAGTGACGGAAATAAAAGGGAACAGATTATGTTGGGCAGGTCAACTCAAAAGAATGCTAGAGAACAGAGGAGCAAAAATTGTTCAATGGCAAAAACAAAAAGGCAGACCACTAGTAGGGTGGCTTGATGATGTAGAAGCAGATCTACAACAGCTAACATTCCAGGCATGGAGACATAAAGCAAAGGATAGATCAGAATGGAGAGATGTACTAAAGCATGCCAAGGTCCTCCATGAGCTGTAGCGCCATTAGGATGATGATGAAATATATACGAAGGTAGATGACATCAACTATATTAAAATAGAGAAAATGTAATAAAAATAAATAATAAGGTACAGTATTCTCTACATAGCAGATTATAAGTCACCTTAGATAGATTTACTTTTTCACATTACTCACAAATCATACCTAATAAGCAGTACATTCATTTCTAAAATTTTTTATTGGGTATAGTGGTTATAGGAAATGTATTAAAATGACTTAAATCAATAAAGAGGGTAGCATCCACTCCATCCCCAAGAGGATCTTGGTGATAACAGATGTAGAAAGTGGGTAATATTCTAGTCACAACAAAGTTTTGATTTAAACAAAAATGGATTTCAGAAATGCTTCAAGGAGCAAATGATATTTATAGCATTTATTTAAAATGATAAACACATCCCTATATTTTATCTACATAAAGTATATAATGTCTGATTATATAATTGTGTAATGAAAATGTAACATTTCATGCAACATAATTTAAAAAAAAAAAAATTACCAAAACATAAATAGTGCATAAAATTATACAAATTAAAATTATTTTTTTTTAGCCCCTAAAAAATGTTGACAAAAAAATGTGTTTTCAATAACCTATCTAAAACAGTAAATGTTCAACCTGTCATAAAAATGTGTCAATGTTTTTACATTCAATAGGAGAATAAGTAAAATAAGACCAAAGAGTATTTTTAAGTAGTGACCTCTTAATACTGAGATAGGTATTAACATCAGAACACAATCGCAATAACAGGTTGTCTCATTTAATCCAGTGAGCCAAAATTTGATCAATATTATTGATCAGCTAAGGCATGTTTCACCATGGATGAGAAATTAGAGGCACTTAGAAACAAGAGTGAATAGCTAAGCTGAATGATACATGAATCCTGACAGAAATAGATGCCCTGTCAATTGTCTTAAGAAGTAATAAAAAATACAACTTGTATGTATAGAACAAGACTTAGCAAGCCACACTCTCGACTGACTCTATGGAAGTGACTTCATAATATTTAATGTATCTACAAAAGTGCATTTTCTATCAGTACTCTTGAAACACAATCTTGCTGAAAGGAGGTTTACTAGAAAAGAATATTCAGGGCTCAAAATGAGCACAATAGAACAAACCAACTTCATAGATTATTTAATGGTCTGATACAACACAGGAAAATTTATTTTTTTAAGTGGGATGCACAAGAAGAAAAGGCATGATTTTAACAGCTAATTTTAACAAAGACATTATAGACATATGTTCAGCTAAGACAAAAATCAATGAAAGAACTAAGACAATTTCGTAACTATTTCACTGTTGTGCAAGCACGCTGCATGTTCAGTTTCTTATGTTCCAAATAGTGTCTGGTAGAATACATAGTCTAAAAATATCTTCTATAGAAAATTTTGAAAGGCTGAAGACTTTTTTCATTCCATACTTACCTAAGAGAATTAAAAATATATTTTAAAAAAGAGCTATAAGTACCGTAACTCAAAATGACCTACAGATCACAGCAATATTTTTCATTTAGAGAATAAAAAAAAAATTTTTTTAATTTTTATTATTTTTTTTTAAATCAATATTATTATCATATTATAATATATTTATCAATTTAGTGAAAGAAAAATAACCACATTTCAAGATGAACCAATAAGACAAATAATGTCAACAGTATCATGGCACAATACAATACTTGGCAATGAAAGGGAAACTAAGAGAC